GTTAGGTATAAGTGAGAATGCAAACAGCTCTCCCTGGGTGATTCTTTTGTATGATCTTTCCTTTCTCATTTTCACTTGTTTTCTGAATAAGAGTTATGTCTTATTGGCAGACAGAAGAATACTTCTTCACTTTGAAGCTGTAGACTCCGCATTCTTTGCCTGGATAAATGGCAACCCTGTTGGGTACAGGTGTGACATATGCCCTAAGAAGATTAACCTCCTTTTTAATTGATCTTGTTGTGTACTGTCTTTAGACCTATACAAATATATATAGAGGTATATAGTCTGTCTTTTGAGCCCAGCTTGAGCCTAAACTGCCTAGTCAAGGATATGTACTATATATAATAGTAGGTAGAAAGATATACTGAAAATTGAATACGTCATTTTCCAGTCCAATTATAAAAACGGTTGCCAAATTTAGTTGGAAACATAAGAAATGAGACTGCATTTACTGGAAAAACTAGTGTTTTTGTGCTCTGTAAATACTTTTTTTTTTTCTTTGGTTGCCTAATCACACAAAAAGAACAATTAACTGATGAGATACACAGATTAGTTTCATTTCTGTGCTAGCTCATATTCCCTATTTGGCAGTAAAGTTCAGAAGTATTACATTAACAAACTATTTCTCCGTTATCTCTTAAACCAGTCAAGACAGCAGATTAGCAGCTGAATTTGAAATATCTGACTATTGCTATCCATGGGACTCCGGGAAACAAAATGTTCTTGCTGTGCAAGTGTTTAGATGGAGTGATGGTTCATACCTTGAAGACCAAGATCATTGGTGGTTATCTGGTCTGCATCGAGATGTGCTTTTGTTAGCAAAGCCCAAGGTTTTTACTCTCGTCTCCTTAACCAGACTGTATGTCAAATTTATTCATCGTCGACGGGCATTGATGCATAATGGGTTAACTTCTATATATGCAGGTCTTCATTGCTGATTACTTTTTAAAGTCAAAATTGGCAGATGACTTTTCATATGCAGATATCCAGGTAGGCTATCCTATAGAAGTTGCTTCATATGATGCAATTCACTTATTCATGCGCTGCAAATCTGCCTAGAAATGTTTTTTCGTTTTTCACTTATCTCTTTGTGTATTTAGGTAGCTTTTTCTTTTGGAGTTAATTAAGTAAACAAGTATGTATTTTTTATGATTAAAGTTCATTGTTTATAATTTTACAGGTTGAAGTGAAGATAGACAATATGCTGGAGTCCTCGAAAGATCTTCTTCTGTCTAACTTCAGCATAGAGGCTGCCGTATTTGATACTAAAAGTTGGTACAACTCTAGAGGATTTAGTTATGAACTTTCTCCCAGGGTGGCTAATTTGAAGCTTAATCCTTCCCCAAGCCCAAGTCTTGGATTTCATGGTTATTTGCTTGAGGGAAAACTGG